GCAGAAAATATTCATCGAATACAGGCCAAGCTTCTGGCAAAGCAGCAGTTCTCAAAGTGTTATCTGGAGCTTCCTGGGCGTCCCAAAGGCCCTTCTAGGAATCTGCAAGGTCAAAACTCCTTTCATAAACACTAGGCTGTTATTTGCCATTTTCATGCTCATTCTCTTACAAGTATACAATGAAGTTTTCCAGAGGCTACATGACATGTGAAATCACAATAGATTTAATGCGGAAGCAAATAGGAGAATCCGTTTTTTTTCTATTAAGCCACATAGTAAAGAGATTTGCAAAAGTGTAAAACAAGGCCACTGTTTGCACTAAATGTTGTCATTCTGGAAAAATAATTTTTCATAAAAATATTATCTTAATATGTAATGGGATTATTATGCATACTCTCAAAATAATATTTTAAATATAATATTTTAGGGCTCCCCTCGTGGCGCAGTGGTTTAGAGTGCGCCTGCTGATGCAGGGGACACGGGTTCATGCCCCGGTCCGGGAAGATCCCACATGCCGCGGAGCGGCTGGGCCCGTGAGCCATGGCCGCTGAGCCTGTGCGTCCGGAGCCTGTGCTCCGCAATGGGAGAGGCCACAACAGTGAGAGGCCCGCGTACCGCAAAAAAAAAAAATAAAAATAATATTTTAATTTCTCAGGTTTAATTTCTAATAAAAAATAGATATAACACACATAAATAAAAGCTCTCTGGGGTCTACAGTAATTTTTAAGAGTATAAAGGGGTCTGTAACCAAAAAGCTTGATAGCCGCTATGCTAGAAACCATACTGCTAACAGGAAAATAATCTAATTTTAGATTATCTAATAATCTAATTTTCTGGTTCACTAGAAAATGAAAATAATAGATTTTCTGAAAATTAAGGAAGATCTTGAATAACCAGTGTTTGTTTTCAAGCTACTGTTAGTATGGTGGCAAGGAACCATATTAAATACTTTTTCATTTAAAAAAGCTAATCCAGAACTCACAACATTCACTTAGGACCTTACATGTTTGTTGTACTCTCCAAAACAAAACCTCCTCTGCTCTCCGTACAAATCCATTGTGGCCAGAAATATGATTTTGGCCTCTCTGTCACTTTCATGTATGTTCTAGATGTATGTGTATTTGAGGGGGAGAGGAAGCAACACACCTCTTCTTTTCTGTTAACTACCTGACAGTAAAAGTTCCTTGAATGAAGCGGTCTCTATCAATTCACTGTTGCTAAGGAGTAACTGTCCACTCATGCAAGAAGCCACATCTGTAAACCTCCAAGAGCTGACCATAAATTTAATCCTCCACACCAGGGCGTTTCTGAGAGTGAATAGTAATAATTAACCTGGGACAAAACGTATAATAGGACTATTCCAAGCAAATCTGGATAACACCCCAAATTAAAGGCATAATACATCATTACTATATTTGTTCCATCATATACAGAACTACAGTCTTAAAAACTTAAGCATTTGAAAGCTAATGTTAACAAATGCAACATTAAAATGTTCAAATTAATTCCCCAAAGATTTTTCTTCATTTCTCCTTTAATTATTTCTCAAGGAAGCAAAAAGAAAACCCAAGGTTTCTCAAAGACAAATGGAGTATTTTTTAAGGCAGTACTTACAAAAAGACTCCTGAACCACAGCTTTCTTTCATTAGTTGCTCATGCTTCTTAAGGTGATCTAAATTACAGCAAACTATACAGAATATACTGTAATCATGTGACTCTGTGGTAAATGGTAACTGAAAATGTGGCTTTAATCAAGGCCTACGTTCATCTGGTATATGTACATATATCTATGCAGCCATACTGTAGTTTAAAGCCCGTGCTCATTCTGATTAATAAGTGCCTGGACCAACTGTTAATCTGATAATCCCTTTGGTGTTATGGATACATAAATATCCTGTTAACTCAATTAGCTAACATATTAAGGGAATGTCAAGTATACACAAGACCTCTGTGATTAGCGCTGCAGGGAAACATAAATGGAAATACACAGCCTATGCTCTCTCCAACAGCTCACAATCTAGTAAAATAAGGAGTAATCCAGATAGTCTCAACTTACAAATATTTGGTTTCAATATGAATTGGTATCTTTCCCTCGCTACCACCCCCAGCAAATATACCACAGATAGGTACTGCTTAACCAGCATTAGAATTCATCTGAATTTGTATTCCTTCAATGCTGACAGGATGACATGGAAATGTTCTCAAGGATAAGCATCAAAGGAAATCTGGACAGGTGTTTAAAATATGGAAAGCACGTAGCTGAAAATTAATATTAAATCGACAGCTTAAGCAATAATCACTGGTACTCTACAGTATAATGTCATAGATAAGCTAAACATAATTAAAAGATTTGTCATCCTTATAAACAGAGGTTATACGGCAAAGAAATGGAATGATCTTGCCATTTTGAAAAAGAACGCACATCCATACGGTATTTGTCTCTCTCTTTCTGACTTACTTCACTCTGTATGACAGACTCTAGGTCTATCCACCTCATTACAAATAGCTCAGTTTCGTCTCTTTTTATGGCTGAGTAATATTCCATTGTATATATGTGCCACATCTTCTTTATCCATTCATCCGATGATGGACACTTAGGTTGTTTCCATCTCTGGGCTATTGTAAATAGAGCTGCAATGAACATTTTGGTACATGACTCTTTTTGAATATATATGGAATTTAAAAAAAAAAAAATGTCATGAAAAACCTAGGGGTGAAACAGGAATAAAGACACAGACTTACTAGAGAATGGACTTGAGGCTATGGGGAGGGGGAAGTGTAAATGGTGACAAAGCGATAAAGAGGCATGGACATATATATACTACCAAACGTAAGGTAGATAGCTAGTGGGAAGCAGCCGCATAGCACAGGGAGATCAGCTCGGTGCTTTGTGACCGCCTGGAGGGGTGGGATAGGGAGGGTGGGAGGGAGGGAGACGCAAGCGGGAAGAGATATGGGAA